CACACGCGCCCGGCGTGAGTTTTAAGCCACCGGGTCCAGGACACGAACCGCGGTTGACTACGTGGGAGTCCAGCGACATAGCCATTACGCTAACTGCTGGTTCCCTTCCCATGAACTTTTTGAGGACTCTGCATACTTGATTCCACTGAACTATAAAGCTACAAATTTTTTTTTTTTAATGATAAATTTCAGAAGGTCAGCAGATGACAAAATGGTTACATCACTAGATTCCTACATGTTGACCATGGTTTGAGTCCTGGACCAGTGGCTTAAACCTCACACCAGGTGCATATGCATGCATGCCTAAAATCTCGAGAAGAGAATGGAGGAGAAGGGATTGAGATGTGGCCATCTCCCCTAGGGTGCGACTTCTCTCTGTCTTTCTGTCTCTCTGTTTCTATGGAGAATGTACACACTCTATAGCAAAAATCTCTCTCAAAAAAAAAAAAAAAAAAAGATAAATTTTAAGGCCAGATGTGGTGTGATGGTTATGTCACTGGACTCCCATGTAGTTGACTGCAGTTCCAGTCCTGGACCCAGTGGCTTAAATTCACGCCGGGCATTTGTGCCCAAGATCCCAAGAGGAGAACGGAGGAGACGGGACTGCAGTGTGGCCATCCCACCTGGGAGGTGATTTCTCACTTTCTGTCTCTGTCTCTCTGACAAGTGCACAGGCCCTATAACAAAATCTTTTATTTTATATATATATATAAAAAGATAGGAAACAGCAGATGGTGTAATGATTACAGCGGAAGGCATGGAGGGCAACCATGGAGGCCAGGGACAATGGAGGAGGAAGATGGGACATAGCAGAGGGTGGGGCATGGGGAATCAGGGATGGCAAGACAAAGGGCAAGGTATGCAGGATGTAAGAATTGGAAAATTATTTGCTGAGAACATGTATGTTGATGTGCTTGATTGAACCAATGCACAGTGTATTTTGGATGGAAAATTCATTTGTGTGTTGTGATGGTGTATAGTGAATTAATGTAGAAAATAAAAAATAAATAAATAAAAATTAAAAAAAAAAAAACCAAAAACTCATGCTAGGCTCATGTGCATATGTGCCCAAGATCCCAAGAAGAAAATGGAGAAGGGATTGAGGTGTGATCACCCCTCTGGGAGGTGATTTCTTGTTTTCTGGCTCTCTCTGGCGAGCACAAGCCCCTATAGCAGAAAGCTTTCTTAAAACACAACAAAAAATTTGGGGTCAACAGGTGGCATGGTGGTTAAGGGCGCTGGACTCCCACATGGCCAACAGTGGTTTGAGTCCCAGACCTGGCAGCTTGCTTTCTCACTATTTGTTTCTCTCTCTGTCCCTCTCTGGTCAAACTAAAAGTAAATAAATAAATAAAGTTAAATAAAATAATTATTAAAAAAAAAAAAAAGGTAAATTTCAGTGCCAACAGGTGGCCTGGTGGTTAAGGCACTGGATTTGTACACGGTCAGTTGAGTTTGAGTCCTGGCTCTAGTGGCCCTAAAATCACACCTGGTACATGTGCATGCCCAAAATCTTGAGAGAATGGAAAAGAAGGAACTATGGTGCAGCATGATTTTTCACTTTTCCTTTCTCTGTCTCTTTCCTGTAAGCAGATGCACCCTGTGGCAAAAAAATAAATAAATAAATAAATAAATTTTATACTATGTATATTTTTACCACAAACAAATAGAGATGAAAAAACATAAAACAGGGGCCAGCAGATGGCATACTGTTATGTCACTGGACTCCCACATGGCCGACCATAGTTTGAGTTCTGGATCCTGTGGCTTGAAAATCACGCCAGGCGCAT